AAAAGAGTACTTTCCCACAGGGCTGGATATGTTTAATGTGTAGTTGTAATGGTGCAGGGTACATTACTGCAATATGCAAATGCAAATATTTATATTCTGCAATAACTGGTTTTTATTTGCTGAAGCTTAGTTTTATAGCAAATATTAACACTTCTTTGGGCTAAAAAACATAAAAATCATAATTATATATCATAAATACAGATGTGATATATGTGCGATGTACAAGCCAACTAAATCACAGTTAACAGCAGCTCTGTAACTTCAGGAAGAATTAAAACTTTGCACACATGCTAAACACTGGTTTTCAAGCTGAACACCATGGTTTTCAACCAAACTTGTGAAAGAACCTGTCTGCCTAAAGACAGCAGATTTCTGTTCTTTCTGATTTCCTGCAAAGGAAAAATCTATCAGAACTTAACAAAATCAAAAATTACATTTAATATATATTATCACACAGTGCTGATTAATAGGTTTTTTAACTGCAAATACGTTAATAAAAGCATCAACTACATTGTCATAGTGCAGAATATGTTAATCTCAAATAATACAGCACTTCTGATAACATATGACAGTGCAGCTTATAAACATATAAATTGTACAGCAGACCAGATGCTATTCTTACAGTAGATGACCCAAGGTCCCATCCCACCCATGAAACAGACCCAGAACAATTACACTGCAGCTCTGGGTGTTATCAGATCTTTGAAGGAGCATCTGGTTCAACTAATGTTTTCTCTAGTCATTAACAAAGGAACAAGCCACAGTAATTCACAGCACAGCAAGCTGCCTCAGCAATAAAAAAAAAAAAGACCACCAACTTTGTATGGTAGATTTTTATATATGCTCTATTTCTTATAATCCCTACAATTACAATACCTTCTGTAAGAAGACAGCAGATCTCTATGGAAAGTAATACTAAGTAGCCCAGAACCACTTAGTAGATTACAGTTTAAGTGTTTTGTTGGCTTTTTTTTTCCCCCTGAATGGAAAACCTCTTTCATAATCAATTCCAGATGAAAAATAATTGTAAAGTGTTTCATTTATTACACGCACACACATGTGCACGTCCACTATGAAGTACTATAAAGTTGCTTGGTCCTGATAACCCTTATCTCATTGTTCCCAGATGGAAAGCGTGTTGTTTTGGTTTTTTTTAATAGCCAATTCAATAAGCTGTTGAAAAATGCTTTGTATAATATAGTATTGCCATAGATCTGATGTTTGTCTCTGTCATTACATTCTGCATTCAATCAATTTACAAATGTTGCTGTGTTCCTGTTGTGCTAGTTTTCCTTACGGCATCCTGAACAGAAATCCAAAGATCAATATCTTGTCTGCTGAAAAAATGTGGGACATAACAAATGAATAATTTTATTTACAATAAAAGTCCTAGCCCCAAAGTGGATTCTGCTAATGCTCAAAATCATTTTTCATGTTTAACACAAAATGGAAGCAGGTATCTGCACAACTCAGTGAGAAAGTGATAAAAAAAACACAGCTCACTTATACCGAAAGCGAAACCATGTAACCATGGTGTTTGGCTAGGAAAGGATCTACAGAATAGTAAGCCACTCACAAAGTATTTGTAGCCACACAAAGTTCGTGGCAAAGAACAGATGGATTTTCTTAAAGAAGGTTCTAAACTTGGGCTCTGAAGCATGGAAGCAGCAGTGCTATGAATGAAATGAACTGAGAAGGCAGGGAGAAATAGTTCCTGCCAGCTGCATGACCTGATCCACTTCTTGACTTGTGCATTCTAAGTGAAGGAAGGACTGAATCTGCTGACGACAGACACATCCCCTGCACTATTCCAGCTACAGAAAGCTATCTTCTCTAATACATCTAAAAGCTGTTCAAGACAGCCACAGATGGCTTTTCACAATCCATTTTCATAGAGCATTTCCTTCAAAAATGGTATTGATATCTGTGTAAGCTTGCTGGGATATATATAACAGGCAACTGCCAAACTGCTGAGCTATGTGCCGCACGTAGTATTCCCAGCTAAACTCCTGGCTCCATAAGAATCCACAGGGGCTGCTGAAACAGTGTCACAGCACTTTTGTACAGAATAGGGAAAAAAATGCACCCTGAAACAAAAGCTCATTCAGCAAGACAGGCCCCAGAACAATGTGCCTGGCTGCTCTGAAATAAGACAGACAAGAAAAGGGAAGAGCCATCTTTCACTTTCAAATATAGGGGTGAACAAAGCATGTATGTATTCCTCGTGTCATTGTGAGACTTAACTGATTTGTGGAGACTGAGAATAAGCACCTCTTGAGCCTTAAATGTGTTTCCATTGGGTGACAGCAATGGGACTGGACGTTCAAAGGGGAGTAGACACTAACCCTGCATGCTGGGTTATGTGCAGCTTTCCCTATCTGGTTATGCCACAAGAGTTGAATGATTTTGCTACAAGTCTCAATTCTCAATTGCATGAACAGACTTCAGCTTGGACAGCAGAGATTGCAGTTTAATGTCAGACCTCCTACTCAATATTAAGTTACCAGTTACTTCCTACTCAACAATCTGCAATGATCAGTACACAACAAAGAGGTTTGTACACCCATGAACTACTGTGCAGCCATTAGAAAGAAGCCTAATCCTGAATCAGATAAGGCATCTCTCTCACGGTACAGGACTTCTCTTTCCTTACCAGGAATGATAACTCCTGGTTACTATTAGCACAGTCTGATTTTCAAACGTCAAGATGAATTCACAGGATTGACAGCTAGAAAGAAACAAAACGTTTAATTTGTTAACTGGGCAAGTATGCTTTGGCACTGCTCAAATCACAAAACCCAGAACTCCACAAGACCATTTTTCTGAAATTTCTCAGAACACAACAACTGTATTTTGAAACTATTACAGCAAATACACTACTCCAATCCTACGTTCTGTTTCAAGAGGGAATTTCAACCGTACAAGTTAATTAAAGCCACTACCTGGAGTGAGCTGGCTTCAAACTGATTTCCTTTGTCTCTCTAATGTACATGCATTAATATTTTATTTTCCACTGAAAAAAAAAAAAAAAAAGAAAGAAAGAAAGAAAGAAAAAGAAAGAAAGGAATGTCACAAGTATGCCAAAGACAAGGCAGATAAAATTATTGCAATAAAACAAAGAAGATACACTTGTTACTGCCAGGTCTTGAGACAAATGCTGCATTACACAGACATTTTAAAAGCTTTCAACTGCAAATTGCTCTATTTTACATACTATATTCCAGCCTTTGCATCAAGATCTTTTCTATTTATTTTTTTTCCAGTAATGAGGAAGAAAGTGTCAGGGCTTTATTACCTGAACATTTATTCAACAGAGAAACAAAGACTATATTATATATTACAATGCACAAGCTATTAAAACAATGTGATACTCTAAAATATGCTGCAATACTCATTACGGGATAACAAAGCTAAATCTGAGCAAATAAATGTATCTGCCAAACAGTCAGCAATAACTACACAACTAGAGTTTATAATCTTTAATTATTTAAGAAGGAAAGAAGCTTGTAATAATTAAGTTTTACAGGCTCCTTAAATTGACACTTCTAGATGCTCACAAAACTTTAAAAAAAAAAAGTCTCTTCCGGCTGAAATCTCTGTTCTTTGCTTAACAACCAAATGAAGTTGTTCACTTAACTAACTAATAAAATCATTATTCCTTTATAAGCTTCCCATTCCAGCACAAGAAATGTTTTGTTTACTCTCTGGCCTGGACAATGCATAAACCAACATGTAAGGCATTTACAGGCTGACAGTGACCAATGCAATACACTCCTTCAATAGCTTTGAAAATATTTTCCCTAAAATTATTAAGACATTGTAAATCATTTTGATTTACATCAGATACTTTACAAACTTTTAATTGAGAAGAGCAGCTCATTTAATTAATTAAAACACATCAGTGAGGCAGTAACATGTTTAACATTTCTAGGAAATTTGTGCATCTTTGTCATACGTTTATAACCAAACAATCTGCCTTCTGGAATGAACAGAAGCATTCAAAACAGGTGCACAGAAGTTCTATGCTGAAGAATTCTAATAGACAGGAATGATGGGAGGAGATTCAACACCTCAGGAAGAAATAAAATACATTTATAGATTAAAAAATACATATCAGAATCAGTAAATCACATGTTAAATTGTGAAAGAAAAAAGCCCATAAAAACGCAGAAGAACAAGAAGGCTTTAATTGAACTCCAGATGTGCTTTCAACATGCATCCAGCCACTGTCTCACTGAGTTCCCGTGAAAATGTTACTATAAAACTCTATGGAAATGGACTGATCACTTGTGAATGTTTCTGAAAAGTTCAATTCTAGCCACTGAAATGAGTGCAAGTTACTTAGTTCTGACCATGAAATAACATGCAACACTCCAAAATAAAAATAGAGGCATTTACCATTCATGTATAGTCATCTTCCCATAATGTTTCTAAACAGAGTTTTACCTATAACACAGGGCATTTTTTTCCTCAGAAAGCACGTTTGCTACACAGATGGTTTATTTAATCCATTCTCACCTAAATTAATAAAGCAATCTGCATCCCCACCTCCCCTTCCCCCCCAGCAAAATAATAGCCTTCATACTGGATTCTGCTGCCATTTGACAAATTGCATACACTTAGCTACATGAACTTAAACATTCTCCATAAAGAAGTTACCACCGCTAAAAATACGTGATATTATTGAAGATGTGTTACTTAGCATAACATGGAACTTAAACAGTAGCCCTCAGACACACTTTAAAATGCTTTTAGTAGCACCTGGCTGTTTATACATCTTCTGTGGTGAAAAGGTCAATAGAAATTCACCTCTAAGGTCACAGTTGCTAAGCAACTGTTTTTGGCAGTTCTGCATCACCAACCAAGTGTGTCAGGTTCTACCGCCTGGCTTCAGAATAAATCCGCGCAGCCTCCTACCTGGCCTGAGGAGCACACAGAGCTTCCCTGCTTCTCCCAAGACATGCAGGTGCCCACGGTCAAGGCACTGGTCAGAAGGATACGGCCCGGGACCACCGGCTTGCGGTTCACGAGAGCAAAGGAAAGCTCGGTCTTCAGGAAGACCACGGAGGGCTTGATGAGGTGCTGGCCAAACCGCAGCATGATAGACGTTATCCTCTGGGTCTGAAAGAGACAAGAGTTGGGATGATTGGAGCACAAACTTTGCTTTTCTGGACAACGGGAATAAGACAGCCAGATTGTCAGAGTTCATCCTGAAAGAAAGCGTCTCCTGTGCTTATCGAGGTGCCTGGTCTGCAGAAAGTCTAATCCAGCCTTCTGAAATCTTAAAGCGTGGTGTGACTTCCTTCCAAAGCAAAAACTTTACATGGACACCTTAAACCCTTTTCTCTTCATCTTGGCTGAGCTGCTAAACTCTGGACAGGATGTAACGTCTTCCCATTGTCATTTGTTTGGTATTACATACGTTTTGAGTCATATGTGCTTGGAAAAGGACAAATGATATTTCACATGCCCTTTGCACAACATGAGCCAATGCACACAAGAACTTAGAAAATACAGAAACTACACCTTCTAAAACAGTATCTCCTAAATAAATATCTAAATATCTCAACTGAAGAAATATCAGTGACTAAGGAAAAGATATTAGTCATATTCTGTCCAGGCTTTCCAGTTTGAACAAGTGAAATGTGAAGATCAATAGCTGCATGCAACATTTTCTCTTATACAGAAAGCCAAAGATTCCCATTTTCATTCACTAAAACTTTCTCTCCTTTTGGCGAGAATGGAAATCCTTTTTAAATAGCTAAGATGCAACCTCCACAGTATCTATTTTAGGTCCTTAAGCCCTGGAGTATTTAAAGTATTTAATTCAATCAGAAATATCCAAAATGCTGCAGGTCAAAATACGAAGAAATGTAGAATTTTATGTGACACAATACTTCAGACACATCAAAAGCATTGCAGTAACATTACCTTGCTTGAACCAAATGACTAACCAGAAAATTCAGTTTTATACTTGTGTTCGATTGGAAAAGACACTATTAAGAGTCAAATGGGGTCCTTTGCTGCTGTTTTTTTCTTGCAAGCCTATTGTGCTTACTAGACCCAAAGTGCTGGATATCCTCGGTATGGATTCCATTTTCATGGCTCTTAATCTAAAATATTTATTCTTACTTAGTGTCCCATCCTTGTGTCTGCCCCAGCTAAAGGTACAGGTATCTAAGTAAGCTGCAAATGCACAAACTGTGAAAGTGAATTTGGAAAGTGAAATACGTTTGTCCTTTGGATGGAAATTCTGGCTTTTTCAACTGATTCCATGAAAGAACTGAACTAAATTAAATATAAGTTAGGGAGATGCTCTAGTCAGGCATTACATCACAAAATAAAACCTTGTACAAGATACAAAAACTGATCATCTGGCTGTACATTCAAGCAATACATATTCTCTGAGGAAGCATGTCTATTTTTATTTTGAAAATCACAATGCTCTAGGAGACCAAGGGCAAGTAGAAAGTGTAGTCATCCCTGCTTCCAAAGACCTGAAAACATCTTAAAAATACATTTTTCCCATAAATTAATAGAAGAGTAAGAGTCTGAGAAGATGTTTTGTTTACTGGATATTAAACTCAGAACTTGACAAGATACAAAATCAAGTCTCTTTATATACCAGAAGAATCCCTTACCATAGGAAACACCTGCTATCCCATACTGATGTCTGAAAAAAGCAATTATCAGAGTTTGCAATCAATCTTCCTCTTTTCTCTTAAAGCAGCCCATCAGCAACCTCACCATGGAGGGTTTCTCATTTTGGTTAGAATAGTTATATAAATACATAATAAAAGACATGGCTCTTAAGATTTTAACACGTTGAGCCAACATCCTGCATGAATACATCCAAGACATATGCTAAAGCAAACATACGCAGCTCTATAGGCAAAGAGTTTTGCTCTTTTGCTGACAAATCTTTCAGTAACAATAAAGAAATAATTTTTCACCAAATTTTGAAAGGATCCATACACAGGATTTGACTATAGAATTTAGATCAACAATACCACGTATTTGTCGTACACCTACCACATGCATTTTTAACTTCTTTCACTGCCTTCTTTGGATATATACATATATTTGCTTACTTTATAATATCATGTAATAATGTATCTGTCTTTCTCTTGATTCAGACTAAATAAATTCAGCATTTCAAACTTGTGCTGGTTGCACTATACAATACTGCAGACCTCTCAGCACTTTTCTCTCAAATTAGGAGATTATGGGATTTTTTCCTTGAACAATTACTCATTATCTATTAGGCACACGTAAGCTGCTTTCTACCCTAGTTATCCTCTGCATTTTTTTCTGTAAAGTAAGATTGCCTCTAGTTGATATCAATACAGATATTAAAAAAAGCATTAGGGAAATGAGTAATGGGTGAAACGGAAAAACCCACGGTTGTGCAGCAGTACACTGCAAAAAGGAGAGAATTTTCCAGAGTGCAGTGAGGCAGGAAAATGCTTCCAGCAGAGCAGCTTCTCAGTCATCTGAATCCTACCTGCTCATTGCCTGAATGACCTGCAAACAAGCAGAAATTGATGCAGTACAGGTGTAGGCATGCAGGTCACGAGATGCAAATAGTGTATGCACAGGGTTTCCCAGCTGATTGCAATCACCTCACTAAGTCTGCTCCTCCAAGGAATTCAATTCTTCTCATAATGAGGAGGTCATTGCCAGGTGGAACCAAAATCTAAATATAATTGGTAAAAGATGTTTCTTCTTTAATGATAGTAGTCTTTCTAATCCCAGTAATAAGGAGGACAATTAGGTAGTAATGTTAGAAAATGAAAGAAATCCATTTCTGATAAAAGAAAATTTCAGGCCAGTTTAACATAGTTTCTGTTCTGACTATTCAGATGAAAAGTGTATTTACTCTTCCTCATATTGCACATATACATTACACTGCCTATTTCATCTGCCTCATTTTCCTAATTAAATTTCCTTCAAGCTGTGTTCTTGCAGTTGTAGGTGGGAATACAGTACTAAAGGCTAATGCTGCAAGTAGACTAATTTTACAGCCACAGCAGATCTGAGATCTGCATAATCTCTACTAGAAAACAAAACAAACCACAGATTTATACTGGCACTGTACTTCACATCCAGAAAAGAGCGCTAAAATTAAGCAAAATGTTGAGATTCACTGCCATATATTCAAATGCTACTCATGCATTTATCATCATTTTGAGATCTCAACATATGCTCCAATTCTCCAAGTATGTTTGATTTCAGGGGTTGAGAGTTTTGTTTTGTGCTTTTCTAATCATAGAACGGTTTGAGTCAGAAAGGACCTTTAAGGATCACCTACTTTTGATGCCCTTTGCCATGGGCAGTGACATCTTCACAGAATCGTAGGGGTAGGAAGGGACCTCTAGAGATCATCGAGACAAACCCTCCTGCCAAAGCAGGTTCCCTACACCGGTCGCACAGGTAGGCGTCCAGGCAAGACCTGAATATCTTCCACTAGATCAGGATGCTTCGTGTCCCATCCAACCTGAGCTAGAAATCACGGAGGCTGCAGAATCGATGGAGTGAAATACACAAGATAGGTGAATACTTTTCACACGGCAGCTCCGTAGTAAAGAACAATATCGTATCAAATGACTCTACTGCCCACAAGGGGTGATGGCACTCATTCTTCAGGCTGCCTTCCTGCCTTTACAGACCAGCAGGATGTTTAATAGAGGCAGTGGTGGTACTCCACAACACCCTTTTATTGTATTGTACAGTTACTTGCCCTTAGATAGGGGTTGAGATCACTGCCTGCTGGGAACCAGGCTTGATGCTTTCACTGAGCAATCACATGAACACTGTCCTAAGGAACAACAAATCTGGTTGTGAAGACAGAACACACAACAATGCAAAATGGGCTGCTAACTTCAAGTGCATACATAGCAAAAAAGCCAATTATATTGCCACTGTTGCTGTTCTAATGTAAATTAATATTTCAGAAACAATCTGAATATATTTTAAAGTTTGCCAGTATTAACGTCACCTTCTCATTAATTTTGATGCTCCATACTCTGCTACTCAGTTTCACTGTAAAAACACAGCAAAAGGGCAAAATATTTTAAAAGCCTTATACAAATATCTACAAGACAAGATAACTTGCACCACACACTATTTAAGGGAAAAGAAGTAATTCTTTAACAAATAATGCTTGAGATTAGCTTCAGATTTTTCTATGGCATTTTCTAAACTGTCCTTTATCTTCCACAATTACAACAGTAAAGGCATATCTGGCATTTTTCCAAAGTTTGATTGTGTGGAATGGGCTGTCTGTACTTACACACCTGAATTCTGCATTATATTGGATGAATGACAGACAATGAAGAATTGCTATCTCTTGTCTTGTAATGCTTTCCTGTTTTGTGAAGTCATTCCCTCCCCTTGCTGCCTCTTCGCAAGGATGCAATCCATGTAACTCAGAGTATTACTTGGCACTACCAATGATTTTCTTATTTTAAGCAGTCAGAGTTTGCCATTTTGATCAAAGACTACTTTAAAATAGTCACAAAATGAAAGCATATTATTCTGAAATTAGTCTGTTTTTATACTGTCCCTTTGTCCCTGGAGTGGCTACATCTCTCAATATCCTCTACTCCTACCCTTGTAGAAGATTTAACTATGTATTTTGAGCCAAAATATAGCATTCTGCTGCTATTTCTGTTCTGAAAAAACAAGAATTATTGTAAAATTAGCAAAGGGGTGACAGCCATAGCCTAATTTCCGTCAGTGAGGTTGGTACTTAAAGCTCTACACATAGCACTGAAAGAAGAAGCTTGAATGATTATTTTCCATTTTCACCACCCACAGAAACTACCAAACAGAAAGCCCATTAAATGTGATGCATGCAGCCAGTCCTGGTGTTGACAAGTACTGATTTCTCACGTCATACACAGATTATGATGGACCTGAATCCACTACATGTGGCTTCACCTGCTTAATCTAGCAGCAAAGAAAACATCAAAATTATTGCTTTTTAAATACATTGCCATTTTCTCAGCATGGTCAATCAAGCTAAATTATCTACATGTAAGATGAAAATAAACTGTGGTCTGTTGCATACTACCAAAGCACCATAATATATATGATGTTAAGACCATCCATTTGCAATC